GGTTGCTGTGAGCTATGACACCATAGCACTCTACCAAGGGCAACATAATATCATTTTTTTGTTCAACTTCTATGTTCACCAGTCATGGTCTTAAGCAATTAGTGGTCATGAACACTGGGAAAAAACTAGGAGTCTACAGGAGTCCTTTGAAGTAGAATGTTTCTACCCAAATCAAATGCCATAATGAATACCAAAGCATACTCAATTCTTCAGTGAAAATTGAACAAGTAGGTCACATACTGAAATCCTAAAATGCTTTTATTACAGATGTTTAATTCCAGGTGACCTACAGCACACTTAGAAATACTAACCCATCTGAAAAGCATGCTGTCACAATCAATTGATATCAAAATACTTCAGGGATATATTTCAGCAGAGCAGGGAACAGAGAGGCTGGACATTAAACTTACAGGGTATAGGCCCCCAGAAAGGGCCTTTCCAAGAAGGACTATATCAGGTCTGACGTTTTCATGATCAACAGCCAGCCATCTACCAGTTCTGGCCAATCCTGTCTGTATTTCATCGGCAATAAACAGAACCTATTGGGGGCAAATGTAACATTAATTAATTAGCATATTTGTTTCCACAGCGAAAATAGCAACCTTCATTTCTCCCCTCAACCTCCACCTTGTTAGAGCCAGTAGTCGCCAGGGTCCCAGAGACAGTAAAAAGTCAGCTTCTATGCAGGTTTCTAAGCATTAGAAAGTTCTTAAGCTCTTAGAATACCATCTCCCTCTAGTGGAAAAAATGATTTATCTTTGCGTTTATCCTGTCAGCAGAATTTAAACAAATGAGAGAAGTAGCAGCCGGTTTGGCCTCATCACCAAGAGCATGGACAACCTGGTGCCTGGTGCAGAGTTCCCGTACTCCCATTAGGTAGCCTGGATCAGGGACAACAACTCCGGCTTCACCCTGGATTGGCTCAACCATAAACGCGGCGACATTTGGGTCTTGAAGAGCACGCTACAAAAAAGAAGGAATAAGTTTTAATAACTTCCTTTCTACCACACTTGGAAATCTGAAATTATATATCCATATATTTCCCTATTAAGAGTATGCAAATTGATTTTTTGGGCTAACTTATATTCTTACTTCACAAGTCTTTCATGGACATTAAACTCCCAGAAGCTCCAAATACTTCAGGTTTAAGTTACACCATCCTACATTTTCTAATACTTAAATGTATTAAAAAGAAAACTTAAAGTAAATGGCCTTTTAAAGGCATTTTAAGACTTTTTTTTTGTGTGTGTGAGACACAGCCTCAAAGCTGTCACCCTGGGTAGAGTGCCGTGGCATCACAGCTCACAGCAACCTCCAACTCCTGGGCTCAGGTGAGTCTCCTGCTTCTGCATCTGCCTCCCAAGTAGCTGGGACCACAGGCGCCCGCCACAAC